AACAATTTACCCAGGAACGTGAAGAGGAGTACGACGAGGAGGAGCCCGAGGGCGAAGACCTCAACGAGACGAAGGACGACGACGACGACGAGGAGGATGAAGATGAGGATGAGGACTCTGAGGAGGAGGACTCCGAGGAGAGCGACGGCGGCCGGCCATCGAAACGCGCCAAGACCAGTGGCAAAAAGGACAAAAAGAAGAAAAAGAAGAAGAAGAAGAAGCCCCGCCACGGAGGCTTCATCCTCGACGAGGCCGAGGTGGACGACGAGATCGAGGACGACGAGGAGTGGGAGGACGGCGCTCACCAGGAGATCATCGACAACAACAAGCACCTCGATGACAGCAGCCACCGGGACATGGACTCGCATCGACGGCTGCAGATGATGTGGAACAACCAGAAGGAGGACGAGATCGAGGACTACTACCGGCGGAAGTACGCCGACCAGACGGTGGCGGAGCGCGGCTACGAGGAGGGCTACGACGTGCCCGACGATATCACCCAGCAGGCGCTGATGCCCGGCGTGAAGGACCCCAATCTGTGGATGGTGAAGTGCAAGATCGGTGAGGAGAAGGCTACCGTACTNAGTGGCGGAACGGGGCTACGAGGAGGGCTACGACGTGCCCGACGATATCACCCAGCAGGCGCTTATGCCCGGCGTGAAGGACCCCAATCTGTGGATGGTGAAGTGCAAGATCGGCGAGGAGAAGGCGACGGTGCTGCAGCTGATGCGCAAGTACATTGCCTTCAGCAAGACGGAGGAGCCGCTGCAGATCAAGTCGGTGGTGGCGCCCGAGGGCAGCAAGGGCTACATCTACATTGAGGCGTACAAGCAGACGCACGTGAAGAACGCCATTGCCAATGTGAACAACCTGCGGATGGGCGTGTGGAAGCAGACGATGGTGCCCATCGGCGAGATGACCGAGGTGCTGAAGGTGACCAAGGACAGCAGCAACATCAAGGTGGGCCAGTGGGTGCGGCTGAAGCGGGGCCTCTTCAAGGACGACCTCGCCCAGGTCGATTACCTGGACACGGCGCAGAACCAGGTGCACCTGAAGCTGATTCCCCGCATTGACTACAGCCGCCTGCGAGGGGCGCTGCGAAATACGGAGAACGAGGCGGCGAACGCGGCGGCGGCGAAGCGGAAGCGCTTCAAGCGGCCCGCGGCGAAGCTCTTTGACCAGGACGCGGTGCGGGCGATCGGCGGCGAGGTGTCCACCGACGGCGACTTTATCATCTTCGAGTCGAACCGCTATCGCCGGGGCTTTCTCTACAAGCAGTTCAACATGAACACGGTGCTGGTGGACGGGGTGAAGCCGACCCTAAGTGAGCTGGAGAAGTTTGAGGAGCATCCTGAGGGTAAGTTTTTGCTATGGAGTTTTTATTTATCATAGTTTTAACACCTCTCCTCTTTCCCCCAGGCATCGAAATTCAGCTCTCCGAGACGACGATCGCCGAAGACAAGGGCCACACCTTTGCGCCGGGCGACCAGGTGGAGGTGTGCGACGGCGAGCTGGCCCAGCTTACCGGCAAGATTCTCTCCATTGACGGGAACAAGATCACCATGCTGCCCAATCACGAGGACCTGAACACGCCGCTGGAGTTTCCCTCGCACGAGCTGAAGAAGTACTTCAAGCTGGGCGACCACGTGAAGGTGATTGCCGGGCGGTACGAGGGCGACACGGGCCTCATTGTTCGCGTGGAGGACAACCAGATTGTCCTCTTCAGCGACCTGACGATGCACGAGCTGAAGGTGCTGCCGAAGGATGCGCAGCTCTGTCAGGACATGGCCACCGGGGTGGACTCAATGGGCCAATATCAGTGGGGCGACCTGGTGCAGATTGACCAGCAGACGGTGGGGGCGATTGTCCGCCTGGAGAAGGAGAGTTTTCAGGTAAGTGGGATGGGTTTTTTTAACCATTTTGACCTTATTTCATTTCATTTTCCTCTTTCCTTCCCCAGATCCTCAACATGCACGGCAAGCTGATTCACATGAAGCACCAGGCGATTCTGAAGAAGAGGGACACGAAGCGGGCCGTCTCGCTCGACTCAGACTCCAACCAGATTCAGGTGAAGGACCAGGTGCGGGTGACGGACGGCCCGTACACCGGGCGCCAGGGCGAGATTAAGCACCTCTTCCGGGGGACGGCCTTCCTCTACTCTCGGCTGGTGCTCGAAAACGGCGGCATCTTTGTCTGCAAGACGCGGCACCTGCTGCTGCAGGGCGCCTCCACGAAGAGCCCGGCGACGCTGGGCAGCGGTGGCAGCAGCTTGGGCGGCGCAACTCCTGGCTCGTCGACGCCCTCGGCCAGTCCGATGCATGCTGGTTTCATGTCGCCGAGGATTCTCGCATCGCCTGCTCATGGAGGAGGAGGAGGAGGAGGTGGTGGGGGAAACCAACGAGGAAATCAACAAAATCGAGGCGGTGGCGGAGGAGGCGGCAGCGGTGGCGGTGGCCCTGGAGGCAGCGGCGGCGGCGGCTACCAGCGCAGCGGCCGCGACCGCTCCGATCTGGAGCTGATCGGCAAGACGATCAAGATCACCCAGGGCCACTACAAGGGCTACATTGGCATTGTGAAGGACGCGATTGGCTCGACGGCCCGTGTGGAGCTGCACACCACCTGCCAGACGATCACGGTGGACAAGAGCCGCATTGCGCGGGTGGACGCCGGCGGACGGGTGATCAGCGGCGAGCCGGGCGCGACGCCCTCCGCCGCCAGTACGCCCGCGTACTCGCTCACCAGCGGACGGACGCCGCTCTACGGGTCGCAGACGCCGATGCACAGCGGCGGACGGACGCCGATGCACGATGGTTCGAGGACGCCGATGCACGATGGCAGCAGGACGCCCCTTCACGGAAGCTTGGATGGCTCCCGGACGCCCGGATGGGAGAGCGGAGGCGGGGCGACGCCGGGCAGGGTGGGCGGCCCCAGCTCCACCGGCGACTACGACGACTACCTCGATCCGAGCCCCAGTCCGGGCACTGGGCTGGGTGGCGGCGGTGGTGGTGGTGGCAGTGGCTTTCTGGCGCCGCAGACGCCCAGCTACGCCAATCCGGACACGCCGCAGGCGCCCTACACCCCCGGCATGTACAGCAGCTCCGATACGGGCTACTCGCCCTACGGGCAGACGACTTCGCCCTCTCCGGGAGGCTATCATGGACCAGGTAAACTAGTGTTGATGAGTTTTAAGTGAGTTTTACCTAACAATTTGCATTCATTTTAGGTTCTGTGGGCGGTGGCAGTTCTCACGGCGGCGGCGGCCTGAGCGCCCCCTCGCCCTCGCCCGGCAGCAGCTACCTGGCGCCCAGTCCGGCGGCGTACGGCTACTCGCCGATGATGGCCGATGTCAACGGGCCGATGTCCAATCTCAATCCGCAGACGCCGGGCGCGGGAATGATGGGCGGCGGCGGTGGAGGCGGAGGCGGCGGTCCGGGCGACTCGATGGGCGGCTACGGCCACGACTGGCAGTCGGCGGACATTGAGGTGCGCATCAAGGCGTGCCACGACGACCAGGACCTGCGGGGCCAGCGGGGAACGATTCGCAACGTCAGCGGGGCGATGTGCTCCGTTTTCCTTCCGCAGGAGGACCGGGTGGTGTCCATTCTCAGCACCAATCTGGAACCGGTGGAGCCGCATC